GTCAGCCAGACCTTCAAGACTAGAGCCTCAGAAGAGCATGTCACAGTTATGTCTTCTTTGTCCACTCCAACCAGGGCACAGAACATTCAGTTGACCCATCAGTTACCAAGATCACTGACCAAATCTGTTTGGGTACTGGCAATCTCAGCTCTCTCAGAGAGGGGTGTTGAGCCAAGACACATACCCAACCATCTCCTGACAACTAATGAGGTAGGAAATTATGGACTACATGAGGTTTGCCCTTGGTGTCTGCAGCTGACTCCTTCTGTACCTGTTCCTTTTCTCACAATAGTCCCATGTTCACTATGTAAATCATGCTACCATAGTAAATCTCACTTCCAATCCAGCTGACATCCTTCACTGACAATTGAACATACATGTTTAAGTAATGTACATGTTCAAACTGTCTCTCCACATAGAATGAAAGGTTTTATCCCCAACCAAGGATTGTTGTTGTTGTATTTTTACATTAGCTAGATCCTTCGGGTGACAATAAAAGCAGAGGCCTTTTTATGACTCCCAGTGAAGTCATAATGAAGGTTATGTAATAGGGTCAGACTAGACTAGGTCTTAATGCTAGCACATATCATAAAGTAAATTATGCTTTACTTTAAAGTAAAATAAATTATGATATACACAAGATTTATCTTTGGTATTCCCTTTCACTTCCACTTTTAATATCAGTCTCACTGATTAGGAAGCTAGTACCCCATAACTCCACAGGCCCACCTTTGGGAAACCAGGGCCACCTAAGCATCTATTCTGGAGATCCACCTCCACACAATCCTTACACTCTGGGCCATTCTTCCTCTTCTTCTTATCATCAAAATTTGCTCCTGTTCCATTCTATCTGTGGTCTTTTTGTTGCCATGTTACATGAAACTATAATTTGCTCATCACTATTAAAGGGATCCTGTCATTGAGAATGGAGAGGGTATCTTAAATAATTGTCTGTAATGCTGGGGATCTCAGCTTCTGGGCAAGTAAAGGGTAGAAGACATTTGGTGAAATATTTAGAATTAGGTTTTGTGGGGGATACATATAGGTAGACATGGCCCTTGGTCTCAGGAGTTTACAATCAAGCAGGGTAGGATGGGGAATCTTGGAGGGCAGGCACTTACATCCACCACTCTACTCTAATTTTATGCAATCATGGTAGATATAATCTTATCTGTACAGGTAAGAAACCAAGGCTCAGAGAAGCAAACTGTTTTCCCCAGGCTGACCACAGGCAGACACTTTGGAGTCAGAACTTGAACTCATGTCTCGTCTGGGATGGAAGTAGAAGTTCTTTCCAGTCCTCCACACCATTATGGAAACAGACACCAAGGGGACAATTGCTGAGAGTGATGGATGAGTGGAGAACTGGTGTGGTCTGTGTGGGAATTTAGAAGCAGCCAGAAAGACCTTTGAGGGTTAAAAAGAAACTGCTTTTCCAGAGAGCGTGTAAGTCGCCCACCAATGAGGTCCATAGCCAAGGACAGCGACCTGTGTACGCCACAATAGCTGGCAGACAAGAGGTCTGTCCAGGTAGACTAGTTCAAGCAAGGGCTTGGAGCAGAAACAACAGTGGGCCAGAGACCAAAAAGGGTAAGACCTATGAAGGGAGTGAAAGTTCCTTTTCTTTGACTTCTTCCTAGTTCAGCTGAGGGAGGGAGGGCCACAAGCAGGATGATGTCCTCTTAAGGGGACAGGAATAAACAGGCCTCACCACAGTCTGCCTGAAGTCATTGCCTCTGGAGGAGGGTGTGGGGGCCCCACTGATTGCAAGACTCTGGGGACTGAAGGAGGGTGTTGGTGCCAGGTGGCTCTCCCTTCCCTTTTTGGAATCCTGGCCAGTTTCAATTTACATAACACAGCTAAATCCACAGAAACAGGAGCTTTGAGGAAGGTTCTTTCTCTCTCTCTCTTTTTTTTCCCTCTCCAAGACACGGAAACCTTTATTTTCTCCCTACACCACAAACCGATGCTGTTAAATAATATTGGATAATTGCACCTGTCGTACTCCCCATATTGTGCCGAGGAAAAATAATTGCTGGTTTTCTGCTTTGCAGTTTGGCTGTGACTCTGTCATTTGACTCAGAGCATGTCATTTTCTCCCATTTTAGACTGTGTACAGTCAAACTGTGTGAAAGGACTCCCAGATAGCGGCCCAGCGTGTGTGAGTGGGCGCAGGCCTCATTCAGCAATGATTTCTAATTTATACAGCATTGAAAATCCACAGCTATAAATAAACAGTTCTGACTGGCTTTGCTGCCTACTCAAATGCTTTATTAAAAAAAAAAAAAAGGCACCACCAACTGAATGAGAAAGAGAAAGGAAAACAAGGCTGTCTGAATCTGGTTTCTGGGCCTGGAATGGGGGAGGACGCTTAGCCCTGGGATGGGCTCAGCCTACAGCCTTGGAGGATGTTTGGCCTCACCACGCCTGCCTCAAACTCCTCCTGCTCCCCACATGCAGGCCAACGTGTTTGGGGATTACATTCTATGAAACTGGCTTCCTGTTATGACAAATATTGCAAGCAAGTAGGCGCAGAACTTCTCAAAATAGCTTGGGGAATGGATGACCCTTCTGTGGGGAGGAAGACCTGAATATATTGTTTAGGCAGCAAGATAAGTCTGCCCAAATTCAAAATTGGTTTCACACATGAGACAGTGACCCAGGAACAGAGCATGGGGATAGGCCAGCTCTGACTGAGCAGTCTTATTGCTCCACCCCTTGCCTGGATGGGGAACAGTTTCCACCAGTTTGGGGGTACTTGACCCCCTTTCCAGTTTTGCAAGATATGCATACATTTTGTTTTTAAGAAAGGCTTTCTGATGGCCAGTTACTGCTTTCCTCTGAAATAAAAAGGAAAGAAGGAAGGTAGTCTCCTGAATCAACTTTGTGAACTTGACACTGTCATTTCCCTGCTCCGAGCACAGAAGCATGCTGGATACAGACTCTCAAGGACCAAAGATCTGTGTGCATCTTTTCTCAACTTCATTCAGTGACATGGTAGCAGGGAAAAGGCCACAGCAGGAGAGGTCACAATATGGAAAGGGGCAAATACTATTAATTTGGGCCTTAATTTTTTTCCTTCGGAGTTGATTGTTAAACATTTATCAGAATATCACTATTGGAAGGTCAGTTTATTCGTTGTAAAACGAGGACATAATACATAGTTCTCTGAGGCTAAGATGAATGAGCATGATTATAAATTACATGATACTATACAAATATCATTGCTGGCACCATCATTTGGTTTCTATTATTGTCATTTTCACACTACTAAGGGCCTAACACAGCACAGAGAGAAAATGCTATAGATCTTTGCATGAATGTTTAGCTGGTGTTCTTGTAGCTGTTGAGTTGCTCATCCTTGAGCTACCACAGCTCCAAGGAAGCACTTATGTTCATATTGTGTATGTGCTCCATGGGAAACAGTTCTGAGGTGCTTCTGGTGTTGGAATAGGACCTAACAGTGGCCAGTCATGCAGCCATCAAGGTTTAATCTGGTCCTGGGGACAGTAAAGCCACAAATAGAAATCAGTAGCCTCATTTCAGCCCAGAGCTTACTATGCTTCTGAGAAGTATGCAGCCCCAGTCATCTTTGGGGCGTGAAAAACTTGGGTGATCCCCTGCAGGCTTCACATCTGGGGAATTTCCACTGTGACAACTGCTTCTGGACCTCTGCTGAGACCAGGTGCTCAGGAGAGCAGTTAAGAGCAGCAGCAGGTGTGGAAAGAGGTGGAGTTCCCAGCTCAAGCCAAAAGAGACTGAAGCTACCATCTATCTACATGATAATCAAAAAGGAGTAGGGACTGAGCTGGTGTCCTGGACCCTGCCCTAAGTCTTCCCTGGGGAAGTGTGTCCTAGTGGGATATTCTTCTCTCTTTTTAAATCCTACAAGACCGTTCTTGGTGTCTATTTTTACCAAATAGGCTGGGAAGCCCAAGTACAATTTGCCATGGTGTCCATATCCCAACTCACTTGAATCTACAGATACATTAGAAGACTCAGTCATTTTTCCCACCACTGCACATTTGTGTTCTGTAAAAAAAGAGTGCCTATAAAACAAATCCACTGGGAAAATGAAAGCAGGGTTCATGAGTCCTTATTAATCATCTGACAATCAGCTTTGTTGAACTATATGCTAATCTCAGTCAACTACTTTGTACCAAAGCAAATTCAATAGCTTCATAATTATATTGCAACCCATCCAGATTCTTCCCCAGGTTTGATGTACACTATTATTGAAGAATCATCATTAGAATGGAAGAAATTTTGGTAATGTCATTATGCTCAATGTTTATACCTACCCCAAATATTTGCTCTGAAAAGGGACAAAGTCTTTTATATTTGTTATGAATTGTTTTCTCATTACCCCAATTAATTTTCTATCATATTAGATAGACAGTAACATTCATCTCTTAAATTTCTAAGTCGAGGAAAAATAGATGATAAACTTGTGAAAATAACTGGTTAAGAAAAATACTTATTTTTTTTTTTTTTTTAGAGAAGTTGGGATTCTGGCAAAATGGTCCAGATCTAAAAGTTAGAAGGTCTAGGAGGCAGATGCCACTGCCAGCATTTTGACACTGACTTTGGTGCATGCAACTGCTCATGTAGATTCTTACCATCCTCCTCTGTGAAGTGAAGAGTTTGGATTATTCTGAGTTCCTCTCCCTCCTTCCCTCTAAACATTCTATCACACTAAGTTTATATGAGCTTCTTTGGCCAGATCTTGGCAAGAAACCATCCTCTGTGGAGGCCAAACAGAGGTAACAAGTTCTGGGATGACAGGAGTTGTACTTGGAACATGTACTCAATCTTTCAGAAGCTTAGAGTCCTTAAATTATTCTACCTCCATAACCCCTTATGAAGTTTAAATATTACTCTCTGTCTTTTCACCTTCTTATGTTGCTCCACCACCACCCACAACAGAAATAATAATATTAAAAAGATAAGGAAAAAAACTCTTATTTTTTTCCTTCTTGGCAATTGGAAATGGCATGTAATCACTTCCTCTTCATCCATGGCTGCATTGTGTCACCTGTAAAAATAAGAACAGAGAGTTATCTCAGCTTTCAAGATTTCTCTAAATATTTGTGTGTGTGTGTGTGTGTGTGTGTGTGTGTGTGTGTGTGTGTGTTAGTGGGTATTAAACCCAGGGCCTCACACATGTTAGGCAAGTACTAGTCTACCTGAGCCCCCTCCCTTTTGTTTTCATTTTGTTTTTGAGACAGGGTCTTGCTAACTGTGCCAAGGCTGGCCTCAAACTGAGACCTGACTGCTCCATCTCCTGAGTAGCTGATATTACAGATATATACCACCATGCCCTACCAGGTATTCTTGTGTGGTAGAGATTCACCCTGATGGGGCAGTGGAAAGTTGAAGACACTTTTTCTCAAAAAGAGAAGAGAACAACAGCCACTACTGCTATAAGGACAAGAAACAATCTGCTCCCAATGAGCTGTCTTGGTGCTCAGCTCATGGTTGGCCAGTCAACCAATGATATTTCTTGCCTCCATATCTCTCTGTATATGAGGCTCTGATTGCTGTGGCTTTTGGTGTTTGCAGGCTGCACAGATCGATGAGCAGATGCTGAGACTTCTTAGATGGAGACAAACAGACCATATCAAATTAGAGAGGGTATAGAAGAGTGGTCTCTAATTGAGGTCATTCTATGGCCTCTCACCAAATCAATTTATATCAACTGGGGTGGGAAACTACTGACATATGGATTGTTTCTTATAAGCACATTATAGGGGTATTCTTCTACTGAAATCATGGCGTTAAATTTCTAGAATGACTTCCAGTTGGTTGGTACCTCCATATTTAATGCTCATAAATCTTTGCATAAGCTTTAAAATTGATAAAATTTCATTACCTCATTATCTTTCCCATAGTTTGTCAAATCCTATCAATTGTACTCTGAAAACAATTCTCAACTCAGTGTTTTCTCTTTCATTCTGTGAATTAGAGCCCTGGTAGTTCTGGTTTGGTATTACCATAGCAATCTCATGGTTGAATCTAATTCCTGGTTGAATTCACTCTGTAGACCTGCCACCCCCATCAATTCATTAAACATCTCTCACTTGTTTTATTTTGCTGGAACTCCTTCTCTCAGAGGCTGTGGTGACTGTTGACTTGATATCCTACTTGTGGCCTCTTCTTGTATTACTCAAACCACACCTCCTGATCACACTTTCCTTAAGGTCATCCTTGTATTTATCCCTCTCAACATTTTTAAGGTCAAAACTCTCTTTACTCTTTATTAACCCAGATTACCTCAATCACTTAAGTGAAGCCTTAATATTCATCCAGCTTTTTTTTCCAATAAAAGGAAATTTTTTTCTTTTATTTATATGTGCATACAATGTTTAGGTCATTTCTCCCCCCCTTCCCCCGCTCCCTCCTTCTCTCCCCTCCAACCCTCTTGCTACCAGGCAGAAACTATTTTGCCCTTATCTCTAATTTTGTTGAAGAGAGAGTATAAGCAATAATAGGAAGGACCAAGGGTTTTTGCTAGTTGAGATAAGGATAGCTATACAGGGAGTTGACTTGCATTGCTTTCCTGTGCATGTGTGTTACCTTCTAAATTAATTCTTCTCGGACTAACCTTTTCTCTAGTTCCTGGTTCCAGCTTTGAAAGCTTCATGCTTTTTGCATTTAAGCCTCCACTTATTTTCCAGTTTCTATGTAAACTTTCCACCCATTAAGTACTGGTTATGTGACATCTGTAAGCACAACGACACTTTCTTCTCTATTCTGCAGTGTATACTTTGGGCCTTTAACAAATTACTTGCCAATAAAATAACAAGCTAATTCCTTCACATTCGAGGGCTTAGTCAATATCAACTTCTCAAATTTGCTCCCTCTGCAGTCACTTTAAGAGCTCCATGTTGTTTACCAACCTCCCAGTCCCTTGAGTCTATCTATAATTATAACCTCCCACCTCCTGCCTAGATGTGAAGGATAAGAGACTCTTTTCATCACTTAGGAAATACAGCAGAACATGAAGGCTCAGAGAGAAGACAAAGAGATGGTGTGAAGTGCTGTTGGGAAAGAGCCTCCCTTTGCTTGATCAGTCTTCTCCAACCAAAACCAAGCAGCAAGATGGAATGTTAAGAAATGCCCACATATCCACTGCTGTGGCATAGTTGTAGCCAAAGTGCTGACCTTGTGGTGGTGGTCTTGGGAGATTTTGGGAGATGGGGCCTAGTGGGAGATCATTACATCATTGGAACATATCCTTAGAAGGTGGTTCTCATGGGACTCATTGATAGTTTCTATAAAAGCCTGACTGTGGCCCACTCAGTCCTTTCTTCTCCTGGTTCGAGATATAATCATTGGCTTGCTCCTTCATGTACTCCTTCCATGATGTGCTACCATCTGCTACTCTCACCAGTGGCCAAGCCAAAGGGATCACCCAGTATTGGACTCCTCACATCCAAGGCTTAGAAACCATTATAGGACAGGCTGAGAAAGAGGGAGAAATGATAATTTTAGTGATTCTCTGAGTTTAGGGAGATGAAGTTAGGACAAGTAAGGAGAAAGGAGATGTGTTTTTGATGCTCCAGTGGGATTATGCTTTAGAAGGATATGTGGGGTCATCTTATGATAACATTGTTTTGTTATGAAATACTACTGATAATATTCAAGACAGATGGTATTACCTAATTTCTTCATGAATAAAATGAAAGAGGTAGACCAGATGGCCTCTAATAAGCTTTCAACAATAAAATCTTTTAAAATACATTGTTGGTGACAAATAATATTAAAGGTAAATTTTGGGGTTTTTTTAAAGAAAGTTTTAATGTCATTCTGTTCAAGATACCATCACAAAGTCACTTGCTCATGTTGGCATTTTCAGCTTATAATTTTCCATAGGAGAAAAAGTACCTACATTCTTAGACCCTGATAAAGAATAGCATAACCCCTGACACATGTCCCTCAGGGGCATGGGGCTTGGGTTAGCTGACTGTCTGTCCAGCTTCCCCAACACATCAGAGGCACTGCCATTTTGGCCTAGAAGCAATTAGTCCTTTACTTTGCCTGATAGGTCTTGTGAGTTGGTTGTCTCTTGCTGAGGGTCTTTGTGTTCTATGTCAGCATCCTTGTATCTTATCATCAAGAAAACTTAAGTGGCCTCTGATAGGATGTCCTCATAATTGCCCTTTTTCCTGATCAAGGTGGAGGAGAATCCTCCTGGAGCTCTTCTAGATTGTCAGACATGGGGAACCAAGCTCACAATGACCTTCCAGAGACTGCTGCTTCTCTCTCCCTCATTGTCTTCTATCATTGTTTGAAACCAACATTCCACCTACCTGTTCCAAAGTAGAAATGGAATCTTTCTTGACGGGTAATTGACCTAAATAACTAATGCAGTGAAAACAGAATTTGCTTTCCTGGTGTGGGGGCTAGATCCCTCCAACTGCATGTCATGAGGGGACAGGGAATTTATCAGAAATGCTCCAAATTTCCATTGCATTCCTGCTCTTATTTCTTATTACTGACCTCTTGCTTTCTTCTTTGTATTTACCCAGTGACATTACTTGTGAGTAGGAAAAGGTCAGCAGACATTCAGCAATGTTGGTGATCTACACTGATGCCCTTTTGTGTCCAGCAGCCAACACGGAAGAACACCACGTTGCACAAGGACACTAGGAGATATAATTATCTGCATTGGAAAGGGACAGGTCCTGAGGTACATGGAGCCTGGTTTCAGACCATCAGCATTGATATGTCTGGGTATGTTTTAGATAAGAATCTCCAGCTGTACCTGAAAGCTACTGAGAATCTATATTTAAAAAAAAAACACCCAGGTTTTCCAAGAATCTTGATAATCATTTTATCAAGATTCAGAAACACATACAGGTTTGAGACACACAGCTCTATAACAATGTCTGTTGACCCTCACTGAAAATTAAAATAACTGTGAAGCTTTAAATGAGACCTATGTTAAGTCCTCATCTCCAGAGGTAAAGATGTAATTGTTCTGGGAATTGGTATTTTTAAAACTCCTTCAGTGCTTTTATGATGTGACACAATCCAAAGTCAAGAACTACTGTTAGAGATGTATTTGGCACATTTAACAAGTCGTGACTGACATTTTGCCTGGTATTCTTGACCACTTGATGCTTGTCTGTTGACTCCTAACAGACCATACTCTACCTCAGGATTTCAGACACAGATTTCAATGAATTCTAGCCCCAACTTGTAAACCTCTATTTCACTGTAAGTTCTTGAGTAAATGTGTCATTTCTGTCCATTTGCATTCAGTTAGGTGGTTGTTACTTTTAATTGTCTTCAGCTGGTGAATTGGTAATTTATGCATAGAGTTGAAGGAGAGGATGGAAGTATACATACAAAGAAGAAAGGAGGTGATTTTGCTGGGGAAGAAAGAGATCAGCAGCAATGGAGACTATGTGCAAGGCTCTCTCCAGTCCTGCGAGGCATTGTGAGTCATCTAAGGAGTTCCATGATCCTAGAAGGGTATTAATATTACATACCCAGTGACAAGAGAAAACTGGAGCCCAGAGACCTTGAGTGCCTTGCTCAAGCCCACAGGTCTACCTACAACTGTCAGGGCAAAGGCTGGAACCCAGGTAGCCTGGCTCCAGAACTTTCTCCTAACCATCACCTTCCATGCCCTACTGAAGCTCTCCTTTGAATTTCTTCTCTCATCCTAAGGAAGTCAGGCTGTGGATGGAGAAAAGAAGGAATGATTGGCTCTGGATGCATACAGAGTGTGCATTTTTCCATTAATCCAGAATAAAAATTTAAAAAGAGACTCATAGGAATGAAAGCCTGATTGTCTAAACCTAGACAATATCAAATTGTAAGAAAGACACAGGCATAGCAGGAAGGAACCAGAACCAGAACCATCCTAGACAAATTTGGTTGTGTGGTCACCCTACATAGATGTCATGTCAAGTAAAGTGGGTTGCCATAAATTGTATGGTTGCTTTGTGGCCAGGTAAAGGACATATCCTAGCTTTTTTGATTCTGACTCTTCCTTCATTTTTCAACAGCTGTCCAACCAGAATGCCATATCATCACTCTACTGTAGTCTAAACTACTGACCTAATGCCTTATTCTATAGTCATTAGGGTCACTCCTTGTCTGCTGTCTGCAAAACACCTTTGTAAGAAGTCCTACTTCATGCCTAGAGAGAAAAGCCCTTGAGTATCTCACCATCTGCTTCCATAGATGCATTGGGAAAGCTAGTGGAAATGGAGATGGGGCTCAAAGACGGACAAGACCTACTCTTAACCCTTCAGAAACCTAAGGTCTTATATAAAACCAAATCCCTAAAGCAGTACTGGAAAAGCAGTAATGATAAAATAATATGTCCAGTGATCGAAAGGAGGGTATTAGAGCACTTGGAAAGACATTGAGTCCAACCTGGGCAGACCAGGGCAGTCTTCCTGGAAGAGGTTATTTGAAATTATTAAGTAGGTACGAGTCAGGTAAAATCTGGAGGATAAGAGGGACATAAGCCCATGCAGATAAGAAGCAATATCAATGTGGAAGGAAAACAAGCAAATTGATGGTGCTGGGGCACAAATTTAGTAGATGGTGATGAATGAATATCAAGGAGGTAGCCACACATGGCAGCTCACACCTGTAATCCCAGCACTCAGGAGGCTGAGGCAGGAGAATCAGAGATGAAGGCCAGCTTGGGCCATATAGCGAATTCAAGTCTCAGGCTGTACTTCATAGCAAGACCCTGTCTCAAAAAATGAAAAAAGGAAAAGAAAAGGTTTGCAGAGACCCTTGTTTGTCATTCCAAGGACTCAGATTTTCTTCTGCAAATTTGGGGAGGCTTAAAGCATGATAAGCAGAAGAGAGCATGGGGATGTGTTCACATACAGTGCTCTCCTTAGCGTCTAGCAATTTAAAAGCATCCACTGCCTTTGCAATTTTGAGGGATCTAGGTTCTCATTTTTTCTTTTTCCCTTTCTTTTTATTTTTTGTTGTCATATTATTGTTATACTAGGGGTACATCATGAAATTTACAGAAGTTCTTACAATATATCATAATTGAATTTACCACCACCACCATTCTCCTTTATCCCCCTCCCCTTCATCCATGGAATAATTTCAATAGGTCGTATTTTTCCATTTTCATACAGCAGTGCTTAGTATTTCCACCATATTCACCCTCCTACACCCTTTCCTTACATCCTCCCCCTCTCACTGTTACTACTCCCTCCCCCCACAGGACCTGTTTTTACCTTTCTGTTTTCTGCTTTTGAAAAAATACAATTTTGCTTGTTTAAGATAGATACACATTGTGACATTTTCATGTATATATGTATTATAACTCGAATTGGTTCATCCCCTCTGTTTTTCTCCTTTCTGCCTTAGTTCCTTGTTATGGTGATTTCAACAGGTTTAAAAATTCTATATTCATTCTTGTATAGAAAGTACATCAACCATATTCACCTTCTTAACTTCCTTATTTTACTCTCCCCCTTCCATATTTGATCTCCCTTAGCCATGACTGTTTTTCATAATATTGCTATATTTGTATTAGGTCTTTATTCCACATATGAGAGAAAATAGTGGCTTTTGTCTTTCGAACCTGGCTAACTGCGTTTAAGATGTGTTTCATTCTTATTCAGCCATTTGCTCCTTTCTGCCTTAGTTCCTTGTTATGGTGATTTCAACAGGTTTAAAAATTCTATATTCATTCTTGTATAGAAAGTACATCAACCATATTCACCTTCTTAACTTCCTTATTTTACTCTCCCCCTTCCATATTTGATCTCCCCTTAGCATGACCTGTTTTTCATAATATTGCTATATTTGTATTAGGTCTTTATTCCACATATGAGAGAAAATATGTGGCTTTTGTCTTTCTGAACCTGGCTAACTGCGTTTAAGATGATGTTCTCATTCTTATTCAGCCATTTGCAATTAATAAAGATTTGGTCATGATTTAGCATATGCTAATTCTTTATAGGACTTTTCACCTGATCCTTCCTTAAGCAATTAAAAATCTAGAGCTAAAGGACAGAAGCATATGCCACAATATTCTGTGTCACTCACATGAGCACTTACATTTGCATGATGCAAACCAGGCTTTCTATGTCGAAGCTGATTTATTTGCTCATTGGATCTAACTGCAGTAAAACAATATGATATGTAAACAATGAGGAAGAGCTTTGTGTTAAAAGTAGTGATTTCAAGAATAATAAATATGGTAAAAATTTTATTTTTAATTCAATGGATGTTTAAAATTCACTATAGGGTAACAATTTATAAACTAATAATTGTTAAACTTAGTACAACTGATTTAAAAAATTATTCTTGGAGTTCTAAGTAATCATGGTTTTTGTTTGCAGTTTTTATAACTTCTAAATTTCAAATGGATTAATTTCTTTCTTTTTTATATATAGACTTAGGGAAGGCATCATAAATCTTTACCCAGGAGCCAAAAATAGAATTAGATGTCAACACATCTAAAATATCCATGTATTTTTGGGTAATTTCCTGTGATTTGAAATTCTGATTTGGGTAGTGATTTTTAGTATTTCATTTCTTTATTTATTATTCTGTCTTTAAGTGTTTGCTTTCAAAGGACAGTGCCTTTGAGAGTTTCTTAAACAAAACTCTTCAGGAGCAGAAAGCATGTGACAAGTCCAAGCTGCATGCTTGTTTCTCCAGAGTCTCAGCCATCCTGGGAAGTCCACACTCTGGCACTGAGTCCTCTGCAACTGTGACGTTTTTACACTTTCTGCACACCAGTTCATGGAACGGACAGAGGGGCCATTTTTGTTTCAATGGGACAGAATGCCATCTGAACGAGTAGTTGTGGGAGACTGCAAGTGACTCTTTGCCTTCCTTATATACAAAATCAGAGCAAAGTTCCTATACATCTATCTGGGTAGGGAAAAATATGGATATTTTGTAGCCTGACTTTCCAGTACCTGTAGTTACTTTTTCAACAAGATATATTTCGGGGGTAAGATGAGGAGAGGTAAAACAAGGAAGAAAATAAAATTTCTCTTTTGAAATGACCTATTAGGATTATTCTTTTTTTTTTTTTTTCATTTTTCTTTTATTATTCATATGTGCATACAAGGCTTGGTTTATTTCTCCCCCCTAGGATTATTCTTATGAAGAAGCAATATGGTTCTAGCAACCTCTAACAAGAAATCTCACATGCTGACTTATGCACAAAGTCCAAGACCCTGTTCTGAGAATTCCAAATGCTTTATCAAGGTTAAGAAGCAACCCACTGGAGGAGGAATGAGAACTTATACGGGAATGCACTGCAGACATTGGAACTGCTAAGAGGTCACCTGGACCCATTTCTTTCAGAAAGGAAACTCAGACATCTTAACAACTTGGGTGCCTCAAGTTCTCAGTTGGGTAGGGAAGACTCTGATACCATTCTTTTTCACACTTGGGATGGTAATACCTTGTTCTTTAGGTCCTAAGTTTTCTAAACAAGAGTTAGCTTTTGATTTAAATGAAATGTTGTTTTGGGGAGGAAGGGAGATGGTTTGATGAAGTCATTCACAAGAATTCCAACTTTCTGAGACTTTTCCTTTTCCAACTTTAGTAGGGACCTATCTGAGTCCTTTGGTCAAAGGCATCAAACACCACTGCCTTCAAATTTGAACTAATTTTTCCTTCAGTTTCTAGGAGGAGGAGAGACAGGGTAAGAAAGGAGTATCTCTGTAGATAAAGGAAATGCACTAACCCCATTTCCAGTGGTTGAGCTTCTGGCCGAGCAGGTACATGTTGGCAACCAAGATATAACTGAGGGAGAAGAAGACTGCCATTCCCAGTGGGCTGAGGGTTGCAAATACAGGATATATCCACTGACCTGACTCAGAGTAGACCCAGAGGATCCTGAAGAAAAGAACAAGTCACAACTATTAGGACATCAGAGCTAAGAAAGCCATTTTGTCCTCAGGATCAATGCAGGTAACTGGGAGCAGCAGGTGAAAGCAGCCACAAGGCAAATAGCTGAAGGATTCCCACAAATCTACACAAGTGCTGGAAAATGCACTTGATGTAATAAGACATCTTGTTTCATGGGGTGGGTGAGACATTCCCCCTCCCCACCCGATCTATTAAAATCCGACGTTAGTGAAATATTGTGGGACACGTCATTTTAGCCAAGGAGTGTGTGTGAGTACATGATAAATTATTCCTTTTGCTAAGATGGATGGCTTGTTGACACATTGAACCTGGTAAGATGATGTTCATTTGCTGGCTCTCAGACAAGAAATGAGTCTTGCTTGCTTTCTTTTGTTTGCTTGCTTGTATTGGTTTTGGTTTTGGTGCCTAAGAGAGTAAGGGACAACTTTCCATTAGTTGTTCAAGTCTTCTTGGGTAGGAGAGACAGAGATGAAGCCTCATTGCTGTAATACAGTATGTTGGGTGTGTGGGGGGGTGTTAAATATTAGCCTTGATTGTAGCTCATGGATAAAATTGGGGATAGAGAGTTAAGCAGGAATGGATGGACTTACAGAGAAACTTAGATCCTGATCACATGAGCATAGAATGTAAGCCATTTCTGTGAGCCAAGAAAAGGAAAAAAAATGCTAGGAGAGAAACTGTGATGTCTAAATGAAGCCTAAATGTGGTTTGCTGGAAACCAACTGTACTGGAAGATGCCAAAATCTGAAATTAACTTGAAAAATAAAATACAGAGAAGATGTTGTATCAGCTACAGTGGGAACCAGGCTTCTGTGATCTCAATCCTAGGTCTGCACTTATTATTAGCTATGCTACCTCCAGCAATTTACCCAATCTTGCTGGTACAAAGTGGGGAATCTGAACAGTGTACATCTTCTAAGGCTGTTGTCAGAATTAAGGGAGTTAACACATGCTAACTACATCCACGTGTTCTGTGTGAGCTGCATAGGACAGTGCCTGACACATTACAATCGTGTGACGACAATCTCAAAGTTCCTGTCTCCGCAGAGGGATGGCACAATGGGAGTTTTTTCAGCAGTTTTTCTTGGGAGTCTGCTGGTGTCTTGTAACAATGACAACACAGGTCAGGCTATGCTTCAGAAACAACATTCTGATGTGTCCATCCTGGGTAGTTAGAGGAGTTCAAATGGAAAAAGAAGTTCTGTGCCTAATTAAACTTTCAGAAACCCCAGTATGCTCTCTATTTGCAAAAAACTTTGTTTGGTAAATGTCTTGCGGAAGGGACAGGGTCTAATATTGAACTCCAGCACTAGGGTGAGGCAAATAAGGCCCCTGGGGATGAAACTCAAGGGCTTATCAATGCATCAAAAGATACAATCGATACAATCAGTATGTATAGGCTGTCTGTGGGATGGGAAAATATATGTGCAAATCATATATTATACTTGATCTTAGCCAAAAGGCTGAGAAACACAAGTCATATATCTAATAAGAGGTTAATATTCAGACTATATAAGTAACTCAACAAAAAAACCCTAAACAAGTCAATTTAAAATGGACAAATGAGTTGAATAGACATTCTACAGAGATCTGCGAGTGGTCAGCACACTCACCAAAAGATGCTCAGCATCACTAAAAACTGGGGAAATGCAAATTAAAACCACAGCATTAGGATTGCTACTATCAAAAACAAAGAAAATAATGAGTATTAGTGATGATGTGGAGACACTGGATCCCTCTGTGCTGTTGGTGGGAATGTAAAATGTGCTGTTTGCTATGGAAAATTGTATGGCAATTGCTCAAAAAGTTAAAATAGAGTTATCATATGATCCCGCCATTCCACCTCTGGGTGTATAACCCAAAGATTGAAGACAGGGACCCAAAAAGATACTTGCACATATGTGTTCATAGTAGCGTGATTCACAAAAGCCCAAAGGTGGAAATACCTCAAGTGGCCACTGATAGATGAATGCATAAATAAAATGTGCCATATACATACACATTAAGAAAGAAAAATATTTTGACAGGTGCTAAAACATGGATGAATCTTGAGAACATGCTAAGTGAAACAAGCCAGTCACAAAATGACATATACTGCATAATTCCACTTAAATGATGAACCAACTGCGTCAAATTCATGGTGACAGAAAGAAGGATGGTGATGATAGGGATGGGGAGAGGGGAATGGAGAGTTGTTATCTAATGGGTTGAGTTTCAGTCTGGGAAAAGGGAGAGGTTCTAGGAAAGGATGGTGGTGATTGTTGTACAACGATAAGAACATATGTAATGCCACTGAACCACACACTTAAAAATGGTTAAAATGGGGAATTTCATGTTGTGTGCATTTCATCATAATTAAAGTAAATTTGAAGAGGCATCAGTCTTAGGGTTCAAGAGTAGACTTGATGCTTGGTATCTAGTCTTGTACCTTCTGGTATCACTGTTCTCCCAAACCTATGTAGATGTTCCTCCCTGGTTGAGATGTCTATAACAAAAAAATTGTTATCATCATTACTAATATTGGGATTATCTAAGATGTCCATCACAGGAATGAATTATAATGGATATTCACATGCCTGTTGTCTGCATCTCATAGTGGGGCAGAGAAGGTACAAGGGACAAAATATAAATGTCCCTCGGTAGATAGAGCTAGGGGTTTGGGACCAGTGAGGAGATCTGAGTATGCTCCAAATAAGTTATATTAACTAGTTCATATTGATTACTTTATGTACCTGAAATCTGGGCTCCCTAATTCCTGTTTACATTTCTTCAAGACAGTTCCCCTAGGGACCTAAAAAGTTTCTATTTGTTTCTTTTTTGTTTCCTTCAGCATAAGGGTTATAAAGGAAAGTTCCTGAGGTAAGTTAATGGATTGTGTATTTTCTCAGACAAAGTGGGAAAGAAGTTATAGATGTTTTAGGTGATAATAGGAAAAGTAATGGATATACAAAAGACTAAGAGGCAAGATTGAAGTAATTTAATGAAGGGTATTCAGCAGAGAGCGTGAATGAGGAGAGGAAAGGAAGAAAGGAAGGAAGAAAGAGAAAAGAAAGAGAGAGGGGAAAAGATGGAGGGAGGAGGCAGAAGGGAGGAAGGAAGAGAAAACAATCAGATAGGGAAAGGGAGAAGACAGAAAGGAAGAAGGGAGAGGGAAGGAGAGAGAAAAAAGAAACAGAGTGATGGAGGAGGAAGGGAGTTTTGCACATACATCTTTCTATCTCAGTGAATTCCAGCTCTTCACTTACTCTTGTCCCCACATTCAATCCCTTGAAATTACCCCTAATTGTCTCTCCAATGCACACACTTCATGTACTTATCCAGGCTCCTTCATCTCATCTGTGATTCTGGCCTTGTCCCCAATCCACTTTCCACACTGCAAGTCACGAGGAATTTAGTTATCTTTCTAAAGACACTCTGTTCATGACATCCTCTTAATTCGGTGGATCTCCACTGAAAATAATGGGAGTGTGGGAAATACCCAAACCCTTACTTAACATTGCTTCCCTGACCCTGCCTTTCCACTGTCCACACTTGGAGGTGCAGTATACCTATATTAGGCCCTTTTCCAATTTTTAAAAATTTTATTTTATCGTTTTTACATTTAGTTACATGTATATACATTATGTGGACCACCTCCCCCACCCCACTTCTGGGCAGAACCTGTTTCACCCTCTTGTTCTCTGATTTTGTTGAAGAGAAAACATAAGAGACAATAAGAAAAACAGCATTTTTGCTAGTTTGAGATAAAGATAGCTGTAAGAGAGATTCCTAGCATTGCTTCCATGCACTTGCACAATGCAACCCACAGTGGTTCATCTCTACCAGACCTCTTCACTACTTCCTGGTCCCCTTCCCATAGTGGCCTCTGCCAGTTTAAGATTACTGTATTCACTCCTCTACAGTGAGCACATCAACCACATTCAAGTTTTAGGTTTCCTTCCCTTTCCCTATTCCTCCTGTGCACATTCTCCCCTTAGTGTGTGACCCATGTCCAATAATATTACTGCATTTGTTTCAGGTCTATAATCCGCATATGAGGGAGAACATGCGAGTTTTGTTCTTCTGAGCCTGGCTAACTTTGCTTAAGATGGTGTTCTCCAGTTCCATCCATTTACTTGTGAATGACAAAATTTCATAGTTGTTTGACTAAGAGTTCTTCTGTTTTTTTCTTTAATTTCTATTTTATCTTTGAGCTCTGAGATTTTTGTCTTCCACTTGTTCTAGTCTTCTGGAGTGGCCTTCCACTAGGCTTTTTGTTTGACTAAAGGGACTTTTTATTTCCAGGATTTGTTTGATTCTTTTTACTGAGGTTTTCCATATCTTTGTTCATCTTTAATTCATATATCTCTTTTTTTGTGGTGTCCTTTGTTTCACTTCAGAGTTTGTTGAAGTCCTCTCTGAGTTCATTTGTTTCTGTGTCTTCTCATGTTCTTTATTTTTGGTGTCTTGAAATTTCTGAGTGCATCTTGTGCATTTTGGTTAACCAGGTGTAGTATCTTCTCCATGAGTTTCTCTATGATTTCTTACAAGATTTCCTCTTTGAGGGATTTTTTTTGTGGGCATCACTGGTCTCCTCAGTGACATTTATCATTGTTTTGTTGGGGTCAGGAACTGGGTATCCATTTTCTTCATTTCCCACTGAATCCTCTATTGAATTATTTTTTTGAGGAGTGTGGTTTCTATCCCTTCTTCTTCCCATCGCTCCACTTGGTGCTGTGCAACTATGTTCTTGATAGTCTAGTTGGTGGTTTTAATTGCCTGTTTTCTTTCCCTTGATTTAAATTTTGTGTTGTGATTGACTTGGTTGTTAGCTAGGTTGGTGTTCTCTTTCTGTCCCTGGCCTGGAGGTGTAATTTAGCAATAACAAATTCATAGGTTCAATGTCAAGCCAGTTGTTTACAGATTATATAGCAAACCCCTTGGTGATAATATCTATAAACAGTGGTAGTTGGGGGAGTAATGGTTAT